GAACCTGTGTATGGCACAGTAGGTAAGCTGCAGTTTACAATGCTGGCACCTCATGTGCCCAGGTTTGAGTCCTGCTGTTCCAATTCTGATCTGCCTCCCTGCTAATATTCCTGGGAAGGAAGTGGATATGCCTAAATGCTTGGGCCCCTGCCACCCACATGGGAGACCCAGATGGAATTTCAAGCTCCTGGCAATGGCCTGGCCCAACATTGGGCCATTGTGGCCATGTGGGCACTGAACCAGTAGTTAGACTTCTCTTTTACTCACTCTGTAATTATGCCTTTCAAATAATTTTTGAAAATATTTAAATGAATAAAAATGAGTAAAGGAATTTCTCCAAGTATAAAGGAAATGTTAAAAGAATTTCTTTGGAACATCTACGTGGTAGGTTGAATAAATTTCTCCAAAGATGCTCATGTTCTAATCTGAACAAACTATTAATCTGTTTCTTACATGGTAAAACAGACTTTACGAATGTGTTTAAGGATATTAAACAGGGAAATTATTCTAGAATATCCTGATGAGATAAATGTAAGTATAATGTTCTTGTAAAGAGGAAGTAAGAGTACTAGAGTTAGGCTGGTGCTGCGGCTCAATAGGCTAATCCTCCGCCTTGCGGCGCCAGCACACTGGGTTCTAGTCCCAGTCAGGGCGCCGGATTCTGTCCCGGGTGCCCCTCTTCCAGGCCAGCTCTCTGCTGTGGCCAGGGAGTGTAGTGGAGGATGGCCCAAGTGCTTGGGCCCTGCACCCCATGGGAGACCAGGAGGAAGCACCTGGCTCCTGCCATCGGATCAGCGCATTTCACCGGCCGCAGCATGCCGGCCATGGTGGCCATTGGAGGGTGAACCAATGGCAAAGGAAGACCTTTCTCTCTGTCTCTCTCTCTCACTGTCCATTCTGCCTGTCAAAATAAATAAATAAATAAATAAAAAGAAAAAAAAAGAGTACTAGAGTTAGTGGAAGGAGATGTCTTAATGGAAACACGAGGTTGAAGTGACAGAAAAAAGGAGCCAGGAATCAAGCTACAGAGGCTATGTCTAGAAGCTGAAAAAGACAAGGAAACTAATTCACTTTTGAAGCTATTAGAATAACTGTAGAACTCTCAATACCTTAATTTTAGACTCCTGATTTCCAGATTTATAAGATAATTTTTTTTTAAATTTTAAACCACTAAGTTTGTGGTGTTTGGTTATGGCACCAATAAAAACTAATCAGGAGCTGGTGCTGTGACATAGTAGACTAAGCCAGCATCCCATGTGGTCTCTGGTTAGTATCCTGGCTCCTTCTCTTTCAATCAAGCTATCTGCTTATTGACCTGGGAAGGCAGTGGAGGTTGACCCAATGCTTGGACACCTGCACTCTTGTGGGAGGCATGGAAAAAACTCCCAGCTCGTGTCTTCCACTCAGCTCAGCTCCTGCTGTTGCAGCCATTTGTGGCGTGAACCAGCAGATAGAAAACCTTTCTGTCTCTCCCTCTATTCTGTAACTCCAGCTCTCAAATGAATAAATTTAAAAAAAAAAAGAAAAATGAAAACTAATCCAATCAGAAAATAAAAACATCACAAGCACAAATATAGGTAAATACAATAGGCATTTTTTCTCCTCTTAAATTTTCTTAACTGTGTTCAATGTTAAAAGAAAAATGTAGCAGTGTCATTGTATTCTAAATGATGTAGAGAAAATATCTAAGACAATTACAACAAATAGGGAAAATTATACAAAGACAGTGACATTTTCTGTTTTACTTGAACACATGAGATGAAAAATTATAGATATGTCAAAATGAAATTCTACAGAGATATGAAAGTTGCCTATATAAGGAAAGAAAAAGTAAAGAAACAACAAAAAGACACATATGGAAAACATACCGAAATAAAGTAGCAGATTTGCCTCATGCTATATCACTGATTACATCAAATGAAATATCATAAATACACCAAAAGAAGAGATAGGGAGAGTAGATTGGAAATCAGGACCTAATGTAGTGCTATCAAAAAGAAATTCACTTAAAATATAAAGTAGGTAGGATGAAAGTTAGAGGAGAGAAATGATATGTCATGTAAGCATTAAATGGAAAGCAGGATTGGCTATATTAATAAAACAAATAAAGAAGACTACACGTAAAAAAATTACCAGCGATATAGAAAAACATTGCATAATAACAAGTGGTCAATCTACCAAAATCATTTGCAATCCTAATTGTGTATTCTACAAAAATCAGAGCTACAAATATATGAAGCAAAAATTGACAGAACTAAGAGGAAGATAAATAAATCCACAATAATATCTGAAGATATAAACACCCTTTCTCAATAATTCATTTAAAAAAGTATATGAAAGAAGTAGATATAGGAAAAATTTTTTTTTTATCTTTTATTAAATGAATATAAATTTCCAAAGTACGACTCATGGGTTACAATGGCTTTCCCCCCCATACCGTCCCTCCCACCCACAACCCTCCCCCTTCCCACTCCCTCTCCCCTTCCATTCACATCAAGATTCATTTTCGATTATCTTAATATACAGAAGATCAGCTTAGTATACCTTAAGTAAGGATTTCAACAGTTTGTTCCCACACAGAAACATAAAGTGAAAAATAATAGATGATTTTTTTTTAAATGATGATGAAATCAGATCAGACCTATTGTCATGTTTAATCCCAGTGAGAGTCAAGTTGGGAATTGATAATTTCTTTTTTTTTTTTTTTTTCAACTGGGGCTGGTTTTGAGGCACAGTGGATTAAGCTTTTACTTGCTATGCTATTATCTGATATCAGAGTGTCAGTTCCAATCCTAACTGCTTCACCTCCAATCCAGGTGTCTGCTAATACACCTGGCAAGGTAGTAGAAGGTGGCCTCAGTATTTGGGCCCACGTCACCCACATGAGAGACCCAGATGGAGTTCCTGGCTGCTGGCCTTAGCCTGGCCCATCCCTGGCTGTTGTGTCCATTTGAGGAGTGAACTAGCAGGTGAAATATCTCTCTCCATTTCTGCCTTTCCCTCTCTCTGCTGCTCTTTCAAATGAACAAATAAATAAATATTTTTTAAAAACATTATCAACTAACAGCATCTATTATGAAACACTGCCCCAACAACAATAGGATAAACATTGCTACCAAATGATAATGGAGTATTTAGCAAGATAAACCATATGCTGGGCCATAAAATAAGTCCCAATAAGTCTAAGTGAATTGAAATCAATCAGAATATGTTATACAATCTCAATGAGATAAGACTAAAAATAATTAATAGAAAGAATCTGTTTGAAAGTAAACAAACTTTTAAGTAACTCATGGATAAATGAAAATGCCTCATGGAAATAAAATTTCCATGAATTTAATGAAAATGAAAACATAAAATATCAAAAAAAAAGGAAATAGTTAAAGCTGTGCTGAAAGTGAAATTTACAGCACTAAAGAGAAAAGGTATCAAATCAGTGACAGAATCTCCCATGGCAAGAAGTGCTAGTACTCAGAACATATAAAAAGCTCTCAAAACACTACTATGAAACACAATTCATGTAAAAATTTCAAGCAGACATGAAGTAATATTTCATTGAAGAGATTATAAAGATGGAATATAAGCATATGAAATATTTTCATTTTTAAAAATTTTTATTTATTTATTTGAGAGGTAGAGTGAGAGAGAGAGAGACAAAAAGAAAGGTTTTCTGTCTGCTGGTTCACTTCCCAAATGGCTGCAATGGCTGGAGTTGCACCCATCTGAAGCCAGGAGCCAGGAGCTTCTTCCAGGTCTCCCACATGGGTGCAGGGGCCCAAAGACTTGGGCCATCTTCTACTGCTTTCCCAAGCCATAGCAGAGAGCTGAATGGGAAGAGGAGTAGCCGGGAATAGAATCGGCACCCATATGGGAGGCCACTGCCATGGGTGGAGGATTAACCTACTGCTGGCCCATGAAATATTTTGAAAATTACAGCCTTTATGACTTGAGCATTTCTCCCAAAATTCTTGTGTTGAAAACTTAATCCCAATGTAGCAGTGTTGGAAGACAAGGTCTAATGGAAATCACTTAGGTGATGTGGTCTCCAAGTTCATGCGAATGCCACTATGAAAGGGGACTGTGGATGTGTATGCTCTCTTTTTTCTCTCTCCCCTGGGCTTCTGACATTTGGGGACATGGCTTCCTGTCTTCCAAAGGACATAGAATTTAAAGCACCAGCTTGGAAACTAAAAACTGGACCCTAGCTTTCCAGTATCTTGTTCTTGCACTTTCCAGCCCCTAGAACTATACAAGAAATATATTTCTATATTTTATAAACAGCCTAATCTCAGAGATTCCGTCACAGTATCATAAAACAGGCCAAAACATTAGCCATTAGGGAAATGTAAATTAAAAGTAAAGTAAAAATGTCACTACACAATACTAAATTAAATATTTTAAAAAAAAATGCAACATAAACACTGTCAGGATGAAAACTGTATCTTTCATATATTGCTGTTGAGATTGTAACATGGTGCAACACTGTCGGGGACCACGCAGCATGTGACCTCTTAGTTGAGAGACAGGGCTGGACAGGCCAGACCTGATAGTACTGATAACGCAACCTTGTGTGACCTTGTGCCTTAAGGCCTTGTAACCTTTCCCCTACTTGCACTAGCATTGCAGCTACAAGATAAGCCCACCCTCCTTCCCCCTCCCGATACCCTGCCTCGATGATATATAAGTGTGTGGTTGAAAAATAAAGTCGCAGCTTGATCGGCACCTGTCTTGCTGCCATCTTTGTGTCTCCTGTCCCTTTCATTTCTCCTTCTAGGTGCTCGGCCCCAGTTGCTGTCCCGCGGGACGGGACAACTGGCGCCCAACGTGGGGCTCGAGTGCGGCCCTTGGGGTTCGAGTGCCTGTAAGATTGGAGGAACGCCGCCTTCCAGGAGGAAAACTTGGATCCAAGTGATTGTGCGACCGGCTCGGAACTGCCCACCCGAGATCATTAGCATCGGTCGACGCTGCGGAGTGAAGACGGTGCAAGGTAAGTGACAGCCATGGGACAGGCATTATCGTCACGGGAAATGTTCATTTCAGGTCTCAGGGAGGCCCTCAAGACACGAGGAGTTCGGGTTAAAAATAAGGATCTAAAGGCATTTTTTGAGTATGTAGAAAGATTGTGTCCCTGGTTCCCCAAGGAAGGAACAATTGACGAGATCAAGTGGGAAAGAGTTGGAAGTTGTTTAAAGGATTTTCATGAGATCTTTGGCCCTGCAAAAGTGCCTATTACGATTTTTTCATATTGGAACCTGATTAATGACATTCTAAAAACCCGTCACCTAGATAAGACTATTGATGCCCTAGTAAGGGATGGTGAGGAGACGTTACAGCAATCCTCCCGACCTGCATCTAAATGCCCATCTGTCATTCTAGATATACCCTCCACTGATGATGACCCCAACAATAAAATTAAAGAGTCCACTTTAGCCCCTACCAACGAAGCGAGCCGACTATATCCTGCCATCCGAGACAAATTAGATTCAGATGAGGAAGCTGCCCCAGAGGAAGAGGTCGTGCACTATCATAATTCCAATTGGCCCCAAAATGTTAAAAATCCCCCGCCATACAATACTCACCCGCACCTTCCCATTTGTGCCCCCGCTCTCTATGACTTTAACCCTCCTGTGCCTGACTTGTCGGCCTTGCGACAGTCACTTCAACAGAGATGAGAGCACATCCAGCTCCTTAAGGAAATAAAATCCCTTGACGAGGAGCTCCGCCACCTTGCCTTAGAGCAGCCCCTTCCAAAACCTAAACAAGGTAAAGTCAGGTCCAAAACCCAACCCCTTCTAGCTTTCCCTGTAACCAGGAGGCAAGCCGGAGGTCATTCTGAGCCTGCCGCTGATGGGGAAAATGAGGCTGAGGAGAATTCGCCCCACCACTCTGAGGAAGATAGTGAGGAACCTGGGTCGGAGGAGGAAGATCAGGTCCCCAATCAAGGACCTGGTAATGGACAGCCGCCACCCTATAAAAAACTTAGTCTCAGATTTATTGAAAAACTTAAAACTGCTTGCACCCAGTATGGTCCCACTGCCCCGTATACTCAGGCCTTATTGGAAAGCCAGAGTGCCCGGTGGCTTACACCTAATGATTGGGACTTCCTCGCCAGAGCTGCTCTCAGCGGAGATGACTATGTCCTGTGGAGGGCTGATTATGTTCAAATTTGTAAAGAAATAGCCCAACAAAATTTTGCTAAAGCTTCATCTAAAAATTGGACCCTCAAAAAACTTTTGGGAGATGCCCCGTATAATTCCAACAATTCACAAGCCCAGTTCCCTGATGGACTTCTGGCGCAAATTAAAACTGCCGGACTAGGGGCTTGGAGAAAGCTCCCTCAAAGGGGAGCAGTCACTACCTCTTTGGCTAAGATTCAGCAGGGGCCCGACGAGCCTTATAGTGATTTTGTCTCGCGCCTTAATGTTGCAGCTGAGAGACTAGTTGGCCCAGGAGAAAATGGAAGTGCATTTGTTACGCACCTCGCCTTTGAAAATGCCAACCCAGCTTGTAAAGATATTCTTCGGCCTCATAAACATAAGGGTGATCTTTCAGACTATGTGAGGCTCTGCGCTGGTGTGGGATCGGCCCATGCCATGGGCTTGGCAATTGGGGCCGCACTCAAACTGACGCAAAATCCCTCCAAGGGGACCTCCACTTGCTACGCCTGTAAACAGCCTGGACATTTTGCCCGCGAATGTCCAACTGCCTTATCAAACAGGCCCATGGCCCAAGGCGCGGCTCCATCTCCTCCAGGTAGGCCGCTCCCCTCCACCCCATGCCCCCGATGTCATAGGGGTTATCACTGGGCAAATGAATGCAGGTCAAAGACTAATTCTTCAGGCCAACCCCTCCCTCCTAGTGTGCTGGGAAACTCCCAGAGGGGCCAGCCCCTGGCCCCAGTTTCTCAAAGGACAAACCCTGGGGCAGTACGGTTTGTCCCTTCCCAGCCTCAGGCTCAGCAAATACCTCAACAATTGCTTCTCTCCAACGAGCAACCCCCGGTAGCGCAGGACTGGACCTCTGTGCCGCCTCCGATACAATATTAGATTCCACCCAGGGCCCACAAATTATCCCTACAGGGGTGTGGGGCCCCTTGCCTTCGGGTACCTGTGCTTTTATTCTTGGCCGAGCATCAGCCACCCTTAAAGGCATTCAAGTTTTTCCCGGTATTATTGACGGTGACTTTACCGGGGAAATAAAAATCCTAGCAGCCGCTATCAGTGGAGTAGCTGCCGTTCCACAGGGCACCCGTCTAGCACAACTGGTTCTTCTGCCTTTAATTACTGGAAGTACATCCTCAATTTCTTCCAGGCCCCGAGGCATTACCCCTTGGGCTCCTCGGATGCTTATTGGGTCCAGCCAATTACAAAAAATAGGCCTGTGTTAACCCTTACTATTGAAGGAAAGGATTTCAAGGGCATTTTGGATACAGGGGCAGATGCCACGGTCATATCTCAAGATCATTGGCCCGCCCATTGGCCACTGACCGCATCTCTCACCGATTTGCGAGGTATAGGCCAGTCCAATAACCCCCAAGTCAGCTCAAGGGTATTACGCTGGAAAGATAAGGAAGGCAATCAGGGCACTGTGACTCCTTTTGTATTACCAGGCCTTCCTGTTAACCTGTGGGGACGTGACATTCTCTCCCAAATGGAAGTTATCCTGTGCAGCCCTAATGCTGTGGTCACACAACAAATGCTGCGCATGGATTATGTGCCTGGCACAGGACTTGGAAAAATGAGACAGGGCATAACTCAACCTATTACAGCCCCCTCTAAAACAGATAGACATGGGCTCGGATATTCGGATTTTTAGTAACGGCCACTGGCCTTCCTGTACCCCATGCAGATAAAATCACATGGAATACTCAAACTCCTGTTTGGGTGGATCAGTGGCCGCTTACTCAAGAAAAGCTAAATGCCGCTACAGCGCTTGTACAGGAGCAGCTCGCGGCTGGACACCTAGAGCCTTCCAATTCTCCCTGGAATACGCCCATTTTTGTCATAAAGAAAAAATCTGGTAAATGGCGCCTTTTACAGGATTTGCGCGCCGTTAATAAGGTCATGGCACCCATGGGTGCCCTCCAACCTGGCATCCCAACCCCCGTGGCCATCCCAAATGGTTATTACAAAATAATTATAGATCTCAAAGACTGTTTTTTCACTATTCCTCTACACCCTGATGATCGTCCTTATTTTGCCTTTAGCCTCCCCCGTGTTAATTTCCAGGGACCGATGCAAAGATTTCATTGGAAAGTCTTGCCCCAGGGAATGGCCAATAGCCCCACCCTTTGTCAAAAGTTTGTAGCACAGGCAGTGGACCCGGTTCGTTTACACTGGCCGCACATTTATATTCTACATTATATGGATGACATTTTACTGGCGGCTCAAAACAAGTCAGACCTACAAGATTGCTTTACAGCACTTTCTAAAGCCTTTCTTGCCCTTGGTTTACAAATTGCTCCTGATAAGGTCCAGTTACAAGACCCCTTTACCTATTTAGGTTTAAAATTACAACAGGATTTGGTTTTTGTGCCCCGCATCCAGTTCCGCTTGGATTGCCTCCATACCCTTAATGATTTTCAAAAACTTCTAGGAGATATTCAATGGCTCAGGCCCTATTTAAAAATATCTAATAATGTCCTCTTGCCCCTCAATGACATTCTGTGAGGAGACCCAGATCCCTCTTCCCCCCGCGAGCTCACCCCTGCTGCGGGAGACACATTAAACCAAGTAGCGCAAGCCATCAGCCAACAGTTTGTTTCACAGATTTCTTATACTCTCCCCCTGCTTTTTGTAGTTTTAGCCACACCACATACGCCCACTGGAGTTTTTTGGCAAAAATCCCTCATGCCCAATAAAAAGGGTCAACCTCTTTTCTGGGTTCATCTCCCCATTTCCTCATCTAAGGTAATTGCAGTATATTTGTCTCAGGTTGCTTCAATAATCATCAAGGCTCGTTTCCTTTCCCGCCAATATTTTGGAAAAGACCCCGATGTTGTAGTAGTGCCATATACCCGAGAACAGACCCAGTTCCTTCTTCAAACTTCTGATGACTGGGGAATAGCCATGTCAGGATTTATGGGAGTCATTGACAATCGCCTCCCTGATGACCCCGTGTTACAGTTTGCCCAATCCTATTCCTTTATTTTCCCAAAAAATACAAAAAGTAACCCCATTCCAAAGGCTGTTACGGTGTTTACAGATGGGTCCTCCAATGGAATGGCTGCCTTCGTGGCAGATAACCGTTCCCACGTATTTAAAACATCTTATCAGTCGGCTCAGTTGGTTGAGCTGTATGCCATACTTCAAGTCTTTACACAGTTTTCCAGTCAGGCTGTAAATATTTATACTGATAGTGCATATGTAGCTCACTCCATTCCGTTGCTTGAGACTTCTCCTTTTCTTAAAACAACTTCCAACGCTATGCCCTTGTTTATACAAATTCAAAAGCTAATACGAGAAAGACAACAGCCCTTCTATTTGGGACATATTAGGGCACACACAAGCCTACCAGGATCACTCTCAGAAGGTAATGCCCAGGCAGATGCTGCTACAAGGCTTTCCTTCCCCACAACTGTGGGATCGGTGCAGAAAGCTCAGAACTCAGAAGGTAATGCCCAGACAGATGCTGCTACAAGGCTTACCTTCCCCATAATTGTGGGATCAGTACAGGAAGCTCAAAACTTGCATAGGTTACATCACTTAAATGCTCAATCTCTCCGTTTGTTTTGTAAAATTTCACGAGAACAGGCTCGTGAAATAGTCAAAAAATGCCCCTCATGTGTTACAAGCCAACCTGTACCGCATTTGGGAGTCAATCCGCGTGGTCTTCTCCCTAATCAACTGTGGCAAATGGATGTCACACACTTCCCAAAATTTGGCAAACTAAAGTATCTCCATGTCTCTATAGACACCTATAGTGGCTTTGTCTTTGCCTCCCCCCACACAGGAGAAGCTGCTAAGGATGTTATCTCGCACCTTATCACAGCTCTTTCTGTACTGGGAAAACCTGTTAAGATTAAGACAGACAATGGTCCTGCTTATGTCAGCACTAAGTTTAAACAATTTTGTGAGGCGCTCCATATTAACCACATTACAGGAATTCCCTACAATCCACAGGGACAGGGAATTGTTGAAAGAGCCCATCAAACACTAAAAACTTGGCTCACTCGGCTTGAAGCCACTTCCTTGTCTTTTGCCTCTCCCCGCGACCGATTGAATCATGCGCTCTTTGTGCTAAACTTCCTGACCTTGGATAATAATAATCATTCAGCTGCGGACCGTCATTGGCACCCTTCCCCTGATACGGCTCCGCCTATGGTAATGTGGCGAGACCCCCTCACCAGTAGCTGGCACGGCCCAGATCCAGTACTCATTTGGGGACGTGGCTCAGCCTGCATCCTGGACCAAAAACAATCGGCACCAAGATGGCTACCTGAAAGATTAATTAAACAAGTTAATCCGCCAATTCCTACAAATAATGATGTTGTTCCAGAGCCTGTACTTGGCCCTGAGAACGCCTTTTCTTTATACCCACAGGAATGAAAAGACCCGGCTGGACGCTACTGGGATTCATTACAGGACTCCTTATTATTGCTGGAATTGTTGCCATTGTTGCTATTTGTGTATCTTATCTTCTCTCTATTCTCTCCTCCCCTGCTACATTTCCTGAGGGCTCACTGATTAACCCCTCCAAAGGGCCCTAATACAATGGCCCTCAGCCTTGCTCTCCTGATGATGGCAATCTACACCATCCATTGGGCTCCACCAGTCTGCAGGGCTTGACAACCCTCAGGGCATTCAAAAATACCTTCAACAGCATCACCCTTGTACCTGCTCAGGGGGCATAATAGTATCCTTCCCACGAACCCGTGGCCGTGGCCGTGCTCAAAAGCCGCATTTTACACAAGACTGCGGAGATAAAACTGCTTATCTGACCGTCCCGGGTTCCCGATGGTTCTGTGTTCCCAAACCTAAGCTAGACTCTTACCGCACTGGGGATCAGTGCCCATCAGAGTGCAATAAAACTATCCATTACTCCGTGCACTCCTCCTGTTATACACAGTATCAAACCTGTAATAAGGGAAATCAGCGTTTATTGTTTGCCGTTATATCAGGAGATTATGAGGAACCCGGTGTGCCGGCGCCGCTAGGTGTAGGATTAGCCTAGTGAGCCGCGGCGCCGGCCCTAAGCTAGACTCTTACCGCACTGGGGATCAGTGCCTGTCAGAGTGCAATAAAACTATCCATTACTCCGTGCACTCTTCCTGTTATACACAGTATCAAACCTGTAACAAGGGAAATCAGCATTTATTGTTTGCTGTTATATCAGGAGATTATGAGGGAACGTTTGGAGGAGAGTTGTCGTCTTCACGCTTCAGCTCCCCCTCCTGCCCCTCTAAGGGACAAGTAGCCTGCTGGTACCCTATAGCCCCTGTGGGAGTGTCTGACAGTGGAGGCCCTCAGGATACCCTTACTAAATTAAAAACACAAAAGGTACAAAAGGTACCGTATTTGAAAGCCTTTACCCTTCCCTCCAATACCACCCCCTGGCTAAAGTTCATTCCAGAGGAAATAAAGACTTGGATGTCAATACCATCGATATCCTTACCAACACCCATAAACTGCTTAATCTCTCTGCCCCAAACCTTGCAAGAGACTGCTGGCTCTGTTTACACCAGGGACCCCCCCTTCCTCTTGCCATTTTTCTACCGCTTAATAATACCCTTGGGTTTAATAGTTTCTTGGGCCACCCCCCTATGCAGCCCTTTCCTGTTCTTCCTGTCCCAACGGAAAATATCACTTGCCTTTATAAACCTCCCAACAACAATCCCTTCGATATCGATGTAGGCCTTGCTCCTTTCTGTACAAATAATGTAACAGTAAACTACCCTCTTTATGCCCCTAATTCCACCGTTTTTGTATGTAGGGATAATTTAGCTTATACCATTTTACCAACAAATTGGACCGGTAATTGCATGCATGCTATACTTTTTCCTGATATAGAGATTATCAATGGAGATACCCCTGTTCCTATCCCCTCCCTTGATTATATTGCAGGGAGACAAAAACGAGCTATTCAATTTATTCCTTTATTAGCCACATTGGGAATTTCCTCAGCTATGGTTACAGGATCCACAGGACTAGGAATCGCGGTCCACAAATATAGAGAATTGTCCCAACAACTTATTAATGATGTGCAGACCCTATCCACCACCATTCAGGACCTTCAAGATCAAATTGATTCCCTAGCGGAAGTGGTTCTACAAAATCGTAGAGGCTTAGACTTGCTTACTGCTGAACGGGGAGGTATTTGCTTGGCTTTACAGGAAAAATGCTGTTTTTATGCTAACAAGTCCGGCATTGTTCGTGATAAAATCAAGACACTTCAAGAAGATCTGGAGCGTCGTCGACGTGCCATGGCTGAAAATCCCTTTTGGACTGGATGGAATGGACTGCTTCCCTATTTGCTACCGCTTTTAGGCCCCATTGTTGGGTTGCTTGTTGTGCTATCTATAGGTCCTTGTCTCCTCAATAGGCTGATGACCTTTATCAGACAACAAGTAGATAATTTAGCAGCCAGACCAATTCAAATACATTACCAAAGTCTGGCCATGGAAGATCCCATGGAAAACGTTATCTCTCTCTCCGGCCGGTGAAGTCTGGCCAGTGAGGTCACGGTCCCTCCAACAACTGACTCTCCCCTTCGGTCTGCCGCTGCCCCAGTCGGGAGCCCAGGAAGGGCCCCAGGCCTATCAATAAAACGAGCAGTAAGCCAATGATGGGCACCTTCCCGGAACCTCACCCACCTAA